TGATAGACTTTAAACCATAGTAATCAGCACATTACACCTGAGTTGTTCACACACAATCTGACAATTCCGTCTGGCACAGATTGTCAGTCTGGATAAAAAATCAGACCCAACTGTATGCTGCCTACAAAAAAAAAAAAAAAATGTGTTTTACATATGAAGACTCAAGTGGGTTAAGAGAAAGGATGGAAGATTAAATATGCAGGGGAAGTAATACGTCTCCTCGACCCTCTGGGGCTTTCCAGCTAAGGCTGATACAAAACAGAGTCACTGGAGAAAAGCACAGAGATTTTATTTAGTAATTTTTAACATGTCCAGGGGAACCCCCACAAGAATGAAGATCCAAAGAACTGGCCAGGCCTAAGTACTTATATACTAGGTTAAAGAAAGAGTGGAAAAGCAACTGAACCATATGGGGAGACTACAGAAAGAGAAGTTATTTTAACCCAGTCTATTTGTACAGATCTCGCTCTGCCTAGACTCCTCTTCTCTGGTGAGAAGAAAGTTCCTTTCCCCTTGGAAAAGGGAAGGCATTTTTCCCACGGGAGTTTCATCTCCCGCTTGCAGAAAGAAAAGGGAAGGTCAGCAGGCCCTTCTTGCACCCGCTGTGTTTCAAGTGCCTTAGCTCACAATAATCAATACATCAAAGTGGCATATTTGGGGGCTGCAGATCCTAAACTCTTCCACATGCCAAGTTAACTAATCAAAATAAAGCTCTAGTGGTGACACTGTTCTCAAAGTAGAGTTAGTGCAATGAATAGGGTCAAAGATTAAAAGGTAATTTTATAATGATATAGGTGCTAATTCATTAAGAGAACATAACAATCATAATGTTTATGCAGCAAATAACAGAGCTTCAAAATTTATGAAGCCAAACCTGGCAGAACCATGAAGAGAACTAGTCAAATTCAAAATTATAGTTAGGGAATTCAATATCACTATCTCAATATTTGATAGGATAGTACATAGAAATTCATGAAGGAGAGAAGATTAAAATGTAGATATCAACCAACTTGGCCTCATTGACATTTATAGATCACTCAACCCACCAAAAGAAAAATATATATTATTTTCAAGTACACCTGGAACATTCACCAAGATTGACCATATCCTAGACCATCAATAAATGTAAAAGGGCTCAAGCCACACAAAGCATATTCTCTGGCCAATAGGCAATGAAATAGAAACAAATTACAGAAAGATACCTGGAAAACCATCAAATAGTTGGAAATTAATACCATATTTCTAAATAATCCATAGGTCAAAAAATGATCAAAGGAAAAATTTGAAAGCATTTTGAACTCACTGAAAATGAAAATACAACATATCAAAAGTTGTGGGTCCTGAAAAACCAGTACCTTGCGGGAATTTATAGCAGCAAATCCCTTGTTAGAAAAAAAAAAGGCAAAAGGTCTCAAATCAATGGGTCAGTTTCTACCTTAAGAAACCAAAAACAAAGAAAAACAAATTAAATCCAAAGTAAACAGAAGGAAATAGTAAATAGTGCAGAAACTGGTGAAATAAAAAACAGAAAAACCAATGAAAATTATTGAAACCAAAAGCTGTTTGAGAAAATCAATAAAATCCTTACTGTGACCTGAATCCTTCTAAATTTATTGAACAGAATGGAGAATCCAGAAATAGATCCGCTTACTTAGAGTCAATTTATTCGAGACAAATGTGTCAAAGTAATTCAATGAAGGAAGGATATTTTTTTCAACAAATGGTGCTAGAAAAATTAGATATCTATATGCAAAAAAAGAAACATTTCTCTCACACTTTCTACAAAAATCAAGTGAAATGGATCATAGACTTAAAGTGCAAAACAAACTATAAAACTTTTGGAGGGAAACAGGAGGAAATCCTTATGACCCTGAATTTACGCAAAGATGATTTAGGCAATGGCACAGAAAGCACAAAAATTTCTGTTCTTCAAAAGTCACTGTAAAGAAAATGAAAAGACAAAGCCACAGGCTGGCAAAAAAAAAAGGGAAAAGATACCTGTTAAAGAAATCATATTAAGTAATAATAACTAAAAAATCCAATTTTAAAATGGGTAAATGATTTGAACACTTTACACATGGCATATAACAACATGAAAAGAAGTTCAACGTCATTAGTCATTAGGAAAATGAAAATTCAAACCCCAGTGGGATACTACAACACGTACTAGAATGGCTAAAATTATAAAAGGACAATGTCAAGTGCTAAGGAGGCTATAGGGCAGCAAAAACTCCCAGTGCTGGGGAGGTGGGGGGATAGGTGCAGGCACTTTACCCTACAGCTCGTACCAGAGAGCTACTTATCATGCAGCCCCACTCTCCTACTCCTAAATATTTACCCAAGTAAAATAAAAACTTATGTTGACACAAAAGCCTGGATAGAATTATAAATGGGTATATTGGGTTAAATCATAGTTGAAAACATTTGTGCCAGAAGTGATACCATTTAGAGAGCAAAAAACCAAACCACATAATGGGAGAAAAAATTTGTAAACCATAGATCTACTAAGGGACTTGTATCCAGAGTATATAAAGAACTCTTACAATTTGATAATAAAAAGACAATTAATTTAAAATGGGCAAATGAATTGAATGGCCGTTTCTTGAAAGAAGATATACAAATGGCCAAAAAGCACATGAACAGATGCTGAACACCATAGGTCATTAGGAAAACACAAATCGAGATCAGGAGCTATCACTTCACACCCACTAGGATGGCTAAGTAGAAACAGACAATAACAAGTGTTGACGCAGATGTGGAGCCTTGGGACCCTCCTACTATGATGGTGGGAACTGGCAACTACTAACAGTCGGAGGGAAGAATGGCAGCATACCCATCTGATGGAATTTATTCAACCACTGAAAACTCGTGCTTATGAAGAGTCCGACAGAGGAAGCAAGGTGACTGAAAACAGCAGGATGAAGAGCGGACAGACAGACCAATCACAAGTGTGGGCTGCAGAGAGCGATGCCTACAGCAGGCCTGTGGAGCAGATGGGTCTTTGGAAGGTGAGCCCTAAGGGAGGGAGGGACCAGTTGGAGGGGGGAAGGGAAGAGTTGCTTGCTTTGTCTGCAGGTGGTGGGGGCATGAATTCTGGGACCCTGTCTTTCCCCAGGGGGTGTGCAATCTGCCGGGTCCCACCAGTCCCCACAACGCATCCCCTGCTGAGCCTCGCCCAAAGCCCCCAGGCAGCACCAAGTCACCAAAGGTTAGGGGTGACCTGGGAGGGAATTTACTCCCTTCCATGTCCTTCATCAGCAACCCCACACTTCAGCCACTCTAAATAACACAATTTAAGAAAATCCTGAAAGCACAGGTTCTAAACAAAGCCCCTAATGTGCAGCCCGCCTCCCAGATGGATTGAGAATCTTTATAGAGAATTCCAGCGTTGGCACTGTGGGGACAGCCCGGCCCTGTTGCGGGCTGTCTTCTCCCCAGGCCACGGAAATCAAGTCACCTTGGGGCAGCTCTCGAAGGGGAAATGCAGTTCAGCAGGTAAAGCCAAAGGGTGGGAAAGAGCCGCGCGGGAGCCAGGAGTCCTGGACTCTGATCCCGGCTCGGGCCCTCTGCAAATTACTTCTTCTTCCTGGGCCTTGCTTTCCCCCGTGTGAAGCGCGGTGAAAACCGACAGGTCCTTAGTGCCTCGGTGGGGAATCGCCAGCGTGGTGGCGGGGCGGGGGGTGGCTCCCAGGCAGGTGCACCTGACCGCTGCGGGCAGCAGCCCCCAACTCCGCAGGCCTCCGCGAGCTCCTGGACGACCGGAAGAATGTGGCCGTGGAACTGAAGGAGTCCCTGCTCACAGGGCGGGGAGGGCGAGCGGAGCGAAGGGCCCCAGCGGGAACACGCGACGCCGGGCAGAGGCTGGGCTCGAACCCGCGGACCCCGCACCCGCTTCCAGCCCCTCCCCGCGCGAGGCGGTGACGCAAGAGGTCACGTGATCGCACCCGGAAGCGCGCCGGGGGCACAGGGTGCTGGGCGGTGTAGTGCTGCCGCGGGTACGTGCTCCTCGCCCTCCTTCCGAGCGCGGCTCCCCGCGGCCCCTCCGTGGGCGGCCGGACTTCTTGAGCGCCCCCACGGCCGGCGCGGCCCTCCGGAAAGTAGAGGCCGACCACACCCCGGCCGCGCGGACCCCGCCCTTCTGGCCTGGGTCCCGCCGCTTCAGCTCTCCGGGCCTAAGTTTCTGCAGCCACGGAGTGGGGCGGGCACCCCCAGCCGGGCCCTCTTCCCAGGGAAGCTGTGAGCTTCGCGGGGGCTTGCGGGGGGCTGCAGACACTGTGGAGTGCGGGGCACACGGAAGGCTGCCGTTGCGCGGGCGCCCCGCGGAATCTCTCTCCCGGGTCCTCCAGCCCAGCAGGGGCCAGGCGGGTCCCGGTCGGAGGGGAGCACCCCGAGACAGAGCTGCTGGGAGACCGGCGCGGCGGCCCGAGGGCTATTTGCTGGGGAAGGCGGTGAAAATGGGGCCGGGGCTCTTCCCCACATTGGGCCCGCGCCATCTGGAGCTCCAGTGAGGCCTGTGTTACCACTTCGGAGCAGGATAGAAAAGGGAACAGGGAAATCACAAAATGACACCGGCATGGTTCGCTTTCCAACAGTCATTTGGAATAAAACAGTAGAACCTAATGTCCGCTGAAAAGCATTTCCACTTTTCTGGGAATATGTCATTAAGGCCGGTTATGCCGCTGATGTAGCAAGTCTCAGTTACGCTGCAAAAGATGCTGAGCTCCCACTCTCCTTTCTTGCCTCTTACTTGCTTACAGGGTTGGGTTTCCTAGTTAGTTTACAGCTTTATGCTGTTCTGCCTTTCATCATCCCAGTGTGAATAATTCTGGAGCCAGTTTAGTTCACCTGTTATTTCACAAAGGGAAGCTGGGGAACAAGGGAAAGTAAGCCCACCTCACGTAAGAGAGCAGAGTTTGCTAAGGGCTTCCAGCTTGGTTATTCTGTCTTTCCCTACAGCCCTGCAGGGAGGTAGAGCAGGGGTGTGAGACGCAGGGGTTTAAGTGCCTCGGCCATCTCAAAACTAGAACCTGGTCTCTGGTGCCTTTTGTTTTGGTTTACTTCATCATCCCAGGATGTCCCCTCCCTTCTCCTGGGACCGCTTCCCTGTGGGGCTGGATGTGCTGTGCAGCCTCCAGTCACTCCTGGCAAGCCCCTTGGGGCTGCTCAGAGCGGGTTTGCTGACCACACCAGAGGTCTGAGTGACCCGTGGTAAAATGAGGGTGCCTGGAAGGAAACAGTAGGCGGGAATTAATGGTTGTGGGTCCCTGCTACGCCCAGAGGACTGTGCTGGCCGGGTTCGTGTTCTCAGTGGTGAGAGGATGGGGGTGGATGGGATACAGGGCACCCCGCACCTCCTGGCTGTGGAGTGTATGTTCTGAGGAGACTCCCTAGGGGCCAGAGAGAGACATTTGACCTCTGAGCCCTTCACCAGCTTGTCCTCCCAGAAATGGGCAGCAGGCAGATAAGAGGCTCTGCTGGCCCTCATGACTTCTGTGTGTTATAAGCATTTGCAGGACCTGAGATGCTGCGCTTCTCTGCGTGAGCTGGTCATCGAGTCTGCTGCAGCCCTTTCAGAACCTCTGGCTGGCGGGGGTCTTCGCGGTGCTCCTTGCCAAGGTAGGTGATCCTGCCTGACCTGGGGGCAGAACAGAGGCAGACAGTACCCCCTCCAGGGCTGCTCGGGGGCAGTGGGCGGTACCCACTGGAGCAGGCAGTGGACTGCTTCACACTCCGTTGCTCTCCCCCTTCTCCGCCTGGTGTTTAGCAGTTCCATGGGAACGGGCTGCATTCTTTGTTCACTGTGGAGGAACCACCTTGAGGCCAGGGGCTCGGAGTTAGAGTTGATAAACCCACAGGAAACTGGGGAGGAATTCAGTAAGTGCCACTGAGCTGAGCGCTAGGGGATTCTGAAGAGTGTCACTGAGTCCAAGACCTCAAGATGCTATGATCCTGTTTGAAACTGGACATCCACTCATGGGGCAGTTGGAGCAGAGTTTTCTGGTCATGGTCACATCTTGGCACACATACAACGTAATCTTGTCCACGTGGCACACTAAGGGGCATGAGAAGACGAGAAGCCCCTGCCTGCCCTTTATTCGGCTACAAGCAGGTGGCTGGAGAGCTCTGGCCTCCCCTGGCTTGGTCAGGCTTCCCCAGGGTTGAGAGGATGGATGTCCTGCCGGCCCCCGGAATGAAAGGCACAGTGTGGGACACTCTGGCTCAAGAAGCTCCCCACTGATGAATAATGAAACACATTTTGTATAATCAGGCATTAATATGTGTGACACAGAACGCATGGGTGGTGGGACGGGCAGTTTTGGGGGGCCAAAGGCACTGGTGGGTGTGGCTGAGGAAGCAGCAGCTACGGGAGTGTGAGAATGAGCTGTGGACAAGGTTAGGCAGCCTGTTTCCCCCCAGAGCAGAAGGAGCTCACAAAGGAAGTTATGTCATGCTGAACCCATTCCTGGGGGCTTTGAAGCTTGTCTTCTGGAGCTGTTTTTGCCTCGAGGAGAAACACATTTCTGAACTGCTCGAAGGGAGGTGTGCTAGCCTCCCTCCATCTAGACCAGGCACCGACGGCCACGAGCCACCACACTGCCTGTCCTCCTGGGCGGTTGATCCTCCGTCCTGGTCAGGAGCGGGGTCCTTCCGTAGGTTTGGTGCAGGTAGGCCCGTATGCGTCTGATGCTCTGGTGAGAGGCGCGAGAAAACACAGAAGCAAGAGCCCCAGCCTTAGGCCTGGTATTTGATCCCAGGGGCTCTGAGCTGTGCTGAGTCCTGCTCTAGAAAGTGGGAGTAACTAAAGATTCCTACATCCTTAGGTGGTTTTGAGGGTGTGACAAAATAACAGCAGGAAGGCCCCTGCCGTGGGGCCTGGTGCCCTGTGGGGGCTCAGTGGGTATTGGCTGGGGTTCTCATCCTCTTTGTTACTCAGGCTGAGCTTCTGGATAAAGAGGCTGGGAAGTGACCTTGCCCTTGCTTCTCCCTGGCAGATGAAGTGTGTCTTGGTGGCCACAGAAGGTGCAGAGGTCCTCTTCTACTGGACAGACGAGGAGTTTGCAGACAGTCTACGGCGGAAGTTTGGGTTTGAGGGAGAGGAGGTGAGTGCCGGGCCAGCGAGGCATGGGAGGGAACAACAGCCCAGAAGTACCAGGCGGCGGGAGAACCTGCCCCTCCCCCGGGCTGTACGTGTGGTCTGGGCTCCTGCACACCCAGCTGCTCATCGTCAGCAGTTGGCCTGTTGGTCCTCTCGAGTTGGTGACCTCACCCCTACTCTACCAGGGCTCCTCGGGTTAAATGAGAGCCGGAGGAGAGGGTAGAGTTTTAATCACACAACAGAGAAATTTGGTGTTCTCATTTCCTCTCCCTAAAAAATGTAGCATAAACTTAACCCATCAGTCTTTTAAAGCCTACATTAGGGTATAATGGACTTACTGTACACCAAACGCTCTCAAAGGGCAGTTGGAGATACGTGCGTGCGCATGCGCTCACGGACACACACACACACACACACACACACACACCTGTGATTCTGTCACAATCAATAAAGTAAACATATTGTTCATCACAGAAATTTGTGACCACACCCTCCCCTCCCCCAGCCTGGGCCATCACCAGTCTGCTTTCAGTCCCAATGGAGGAGTTTGTATTCTGTAGGATTTTATGTAAATGAAGTCATGTTGTATTTACTCCAAGTGGTTTTGGGGTAGCTTCTTTCTGTCAGCATAATTTTGAGATTTACCCACGTTGTAGCGTGTGTTGGTAGTGTCGTCCTTCTGACGGTTGAGCAGGGGGTCGTCGGGTATCGACAAGCCATGGCTTATGTATCTGGGTACCTGTTGATGGTAACTGTGTCCCGCTTTTGACTTTTCCCGATAAAGCAGATGTGGACATTCATGTGCAGGTCTCTCTGTGGACTTCACCTTTCACTTTTCTTGGGTAAATACCTAGTACAGAAGGGCTAGATCATGGAGGTGCATGTGAAACTTTGTAAGAAATTGCCAGATTTTGCCAGAGGGGTCGCAGCACACCAGAGCCCCCTACTCACATATGAGAGTTCTACTTCCGTATCCTTGCTAACACTTGCTGTAGTCTTTATAATTTTAGCCATTTTAATAGGCATCTCCTGGGTCTCATTATCATAATTTTCATGGCCTGTTAGCTGATGATTTTGACATCATTTCATGTACGTATTTTCCCTCTGTGTCTTCTTGAGTTGAAGTTGGTTCACATTTTGCCCGTCTTTTTATTGGGTAGGTTATTTCTTACTATTCTTAATGAGTTTTGAGAGTGTTACGTAGTTTGGGTGCAAGTCCTTTATTCGGTGTTTTGCAAATATTTTTTTCCAGTCTGTGTGTTGTCTTCACATCCATTAACCAGTATTTTGTAAAGAGCAGACGTTTTTCATTCTGATAATCTTTGTCCAACCCAAGATCCGAGAGTTTTCTCTGTATTTTCTTCTAGAAGTTTTATATATATATATACATATATATATGTATATATATGCTTTTTTTTAAGCTTTTTTTTATATTAGGTCTCTTTTTTTTAGCTTTTATATTAGGTCTAATGATCCTCTTTGAATTTTTGTATATGATGTCAAGTATGGATTAAGGTTTATCTTCTGCATGTAGACATCCAGGGTAATCCTGAAATATTACAGCATGGAAATAGTTTTCATTTTCACTCATAATTTCTACTCTACATTTGAAAGGAGTGATTTATTTTGAAAACTTTTTCCAGATGAATATGGAGCTAAACATATTTGCAGGGAAAGCAGTAGAGAGCATCCCAGCACTTCTGCAGCAGCCCCGACAGGTGGCTTGCCTGGCCCCTTCTCGCTCTGCTGGGCATAATCACCGCTCACACAGTTCCACTTCAGCAGCTTAATCTGCCCAACATCCCCACTATTCTTGTCCCCGTCTTTAGGAATAAAGATATCAGAGATCATGACGTTTTAGTGGTTTCCTTTAAGCTAAAAAACTGGTCTATTAGGCTCTTTTATTTTTAGCAGTCAATACATACAGTATTTTTCTTTTTTGAAGAGAGAGAGAATGCAAGTCGGGAGGGGACAGAGGGAGAGGAAGATGGAGAGAATCTCAGGCAGAGCCTGACATGGGGCTCAATCTTGGGACCCTGAGATCATGATCTGAGCTGAAATCGAGAGTCAAACGCTTAACCGACTGAGCCACCCAGGTGCCCCAATGCATATAGTTTTTTTAAAGAATTTTTAAATATTTTCGTTCTTAACCTACTATTTCAATCAGGTTAGCTGAAGAAGCCAGCTGTCAATAGACCTCTGTATCCCCAGAACCTGCCGTAACATGAACAGAAAGGCACTCAGTATATCGGTGAATGAATGAATAAAACAAAAGAAGCAAGTTATCTGATCGTGTTTATCTTCCTTTTTATTAAAAACCTCTTAAGGGAACAAAATCCTAATTTTTTTTTTCACTTCCTAAGTGATTACTGTAAAGAAAAAAATGCCTTTAAAGTTTTATTTTTATGTACACAATGCTATTTTTTTCCTGATTCTATAAATAACATGAATTAATTGTAGGAAATTTGGAAATACAGAGAAATCGTTTTTAAATGACCCATAATTCTAGTACCAGAGCCATTAGCTCTTCTATATATTTCCTTTGGGTCTTTATCTTTTATATGTAGTTGGGATCGTACCACATTTACAGTTTTATTTTCTGTTTTTCCACTTTCCATTATATCAAAAGCATTATTCTTTTTTGTTAAATATTCTCAAAAGCACAAATCTTAGTGGAAGCATTATATCCCAGTGTATAAATAAATGTATCATTTATCCGACCATTTTTCCCATACTGGGCACGTATATTGATTCTCGTTGACTAAAACTGTTGCTGCAGGGAACACTTATGTTTGAATTTGATCCCACATCTCATTATTTCCTTCGGATAATTTCCTATAAATAGAAACGTTGATTCAAAAGCCATTCAGAGATAATGCACCACTTTATAATTCCAAGTAATAGTAATTCCTTTGCACTCTGCCTTCCCCAACCTTTTAAAAAAAAAATCTCACTACACCTGCAGGAAAAGCCACTCCTTTAAAAACGAGTTGCTGTACATAATCCAGATTTTTAAGCAACTTTCTCTTACCATAATCTGTTTGTGGCAGTTCAAGAAAATTGTGGCACATGAGTAATTCAACAGACGTTTGGCTCTGTGGAGGGATATTCATTCAACAATATTAATTGAGAACCTACTATGCGCCAGCCTCTTGGGGTGAAGCAGTGAACACAGCGACAGGATCCTGCTCTCGTGGAAGCTACAGAGGGAGGACAGAGAGTGAACGGGGTGCAAAGAAACACATGAGTTCAGGGAATGTTAAATGTGCCAAAGAAGTTAGACCGTGTGGGGTGAGACGTGATGGGGGCAGGGTGGCCAAGGTGGTCAGAAAAGGGGCCATCTGAGCTGGGGCCCAGGAGCCACGGCTAGCGGGACCCACCTCTACTCCTGAGCAGAGTTGGAGGAAATCCGTCCTGCAGCGCTGCCTCCTGCTCCTGTTTGTAAATGCTGCTCATTGCCCCTGGTTAGGTGCGTGTTTTTCTTTTCAACGCAAGGTCTTACTCCTCTCCTTTCTTCTTTTTGTTTTTTATAATTTTTTTTTATTTTCTTATAAACATATAATGTATTATTAGCCCCAGGGGTACAGGTCTGTGAATCGCCAGGTTTACACACTTCACAGCACTCACCATAGCGCATACCCTCCCCAGTGTCCATCACCCACCCCCCCTCTCCCTACCCTCTCCCCCTGGCCACCCTCAGTTTGTTATGAGAGATTAAGGGTCTCTTATGGTTTGTCTCCCTCCCGATCCCATCTTGTTTCATTTATTCTTCTCCTACCCCCCAACCCCCGCACGTTGCGTCTCCACTTCCTCATGTCAAACTCTTCTCCTTTCAGATTTCACAAGCTCGAAGTCGGGATTCGGCTCTCTCCATATTTCGGTCAAGTCTCCCCAGATCAGCGTGGGGAAGGGCAGCTGTTCTCCTTTCTTCCCCTTCCAGTGAGGAAGGTTTGGGGGGTGCCCATTCTGCTGGCTTTATGCCAGTTTTATCTGCAGATTTTCAGCAGCTTTGTCCAGTTTCTCTTTGGTTCTCTTTGTTTTGCTCCTGATTTTGGAGGGCAGAGAAAATGGCTGGAGGAGGAGCTTGTAAAAGTGAAGGTTGGCTTGTTATGGAAATCGGGACGGTACAGAAGCATAAAAAATTGTGGGGGGGGGTCTCTCCTACTCTCTCGGCCAGAAGGAATACCTTTAACGGTGTTACACTGACTTTTTAAATATTTTTTCAATACTTTGTTTTTTCTATGTATTTCAAAATACTGTTCTCAGCGATTTTTTTTTTTTTAAGGTAACATCAGAGTAATTTTCCATGTCCTTGAAACTTCCAGTATTTTAGGTGGCTTCACATTCTTCCTTCATTTAGCTGAGCTGTCACTTATTTAACTGTTTCCCTGGCACTGGGCATTTCCGGTTCTTGCAGTCACTTGCTGCTGTAAATTATGCTGTAGTGAGCATCTTTGTGTGTTTGCCTTTGCCCTATCCCTGATCGTTGTCCTTAGGATATGTTCCCCCAAGGTAGACCAAGTGTAACAAAAAGCACGGACTCAGGGACACGTAGGGAACTTCCTCAGAGTTGGTCAGTTCTCCATTAAATGCCCCCCGCGTTGCACTGCTGTGGAGATGGCCTGAGTCCTTAATGTTTCCTTCTGGATTCAGAGCCAGAAGGGCACAGGTACCTGGCTGATTCTTCCCAGCCTCTTCTAACTACCACCAGAGTGCCGGGGGCAGTCTCCTCTTGCCCCACTTCCCTGTCAGGATGGTGGTACCTTCTAGGCAGGTCTAAAACAAGGGACACCCTTGCTAGCGAGGCCTGGGTCTTGTCCATTCCTTTTGTCGCCAGGGTCTGGCACTCTAAGCGGTGTTACTTTCTTCCGTCTTGCAGCTTCCCGCCCTGGAGGACCAGCTCAGCACCCTCCTGGCCCCGATCATCATCTCCTCCATGACCATGCTGGAGAAGCTCTCAGATACATATACCTGCTTTTCGACGGAAAATGGCAACTATCTGTACGTCCTTCACCTGGTGAGTGTGTAGCCCTGGGGCCCATGTTCCTCTTCCCTCAGCGCCACGGGCCGTCCGAGAGCCTTTCCCTTGAATTTCAGATTCCCTTAGAAAGCAGAAACCACCCTATCAGATTCCCCGGGGATCTAGGCCTCCCCTCACTCTCCTCCGGGATCAGGCCAGGTGAGGGGTCCCCGGGGCTGGCTGACCCCAGCCCCCTCGGCCCGCAGTTCGGAGAATGCCTTTTCATTGCCATCAACGGAGACCGCACGGAGGGCGAGGGCGACCTGCGGCAGAAGCTGTGTGTGCTCAAGTACCTGTTCGAGGTGCACTTTGGGCTGGTCACCGTGGACGGCCAGCTCATCCGAAAGGAGTGAGTCCACTCTGGCTGACTTTGTGTCCTGTGTCCGTGTGTGAGGGAAACCGAGACGTGAAGTGCTTAACTCGGGCGCCTGCCTCCCGGTTCTGTGCCCGTCCCACTCCAGGGCCACGGCGCCGCCTGGACCAGCCCTTCCATGCTCCGAGGGCTCTCCCACTTGTCGCCTCGAGTGGCAGGAGCCTGCCCAGCCCTGGCGGTAACTCTGCTCCTTTGGTGGATGGTGGGCACAGGCAGCTTTCTCAGGGTCTCTCCTGCTCCGCCCCCAGGCTGCGGCCCCCTGACCTTGAGCAGCGAGTCCGGGTGTGGAAGCACTTCCAGAGCCTGCTGTGGACGTACGGGCGCCTGCGGGAGCAGGAGCAGTGCTTCGCCGTGGAGGTGACTACTGGGCACGGGAAGCCTCAGGCCCCAGGGGTGCCAGGTCAGAGGGCTGAGGAGACACACCACTGCCCCATCACGAGTGAGGTCACGACAGACCCTCAGACTCTTACCTTTAGAAGGTTGCTGTCTGTGGCCGCATGGTGGGTTAGATGCTCTGGTGGGGTTCTCTACAATAAAACAGACATTTTAACACAATTTGGGGCTCACAGTAAATTTTGGAAATTCTGAAGCTAGCTCCCTCCGTTCTGACCGCCGCCTCCTCCCCAAGAAATTATATTGAACCGAAACTAGCGTGGAAAGTAGTGAAAACTAAACAGCCCTACAGGGAAGATGGCCCGAGTGCAGATGATGGTACCACCGTCACCGGCACACTGACTTAGGCCCTCAGCAGCTGCAGAGCTGAGCCCGAGACTCCCAGGTCAAGCTCCCACGGAGGAGCTCAGGGGGTCCCTGCAGTACCGCTTCTGGCTCCCTGTGGAGACAAACACAGATTTCCTCCCTAGGGGCAGTTCTCACCCTCAGGGTACATCCGAATCATCTGGAGGGCTTGTGAGAGAAGGGTTGTGGGGCCTCACTTTTCCCATGGGGATGGGTGGTGTGGAGATTCTAGAATTTGCATTTCTGACGAGTTCACTGGTGAGCTGATGATGCTGGTCCCGGAACTGCACTTTGAAAGCTCCTGCCTTAGAGGACAGGTTCGGAGCAGCAAACAGCAGCTCACAACTGACAGATGCACCAGGACACAAGCCAGCACGAGTGAGAGGAAAACCAATCACCAATAGATTTAGACCCCTAGGAGCTTGATATACTGGGATTATTCAGTCCAGAACGTAAAATAACTCTGAAATATTTAAAGACTTTAAAGCTAGTTGAGAACCCATATAGGTATTTTAGAAATAAAAACAATTGTTAAAATAAAAACCTCAAGAGATGGGTTAAATTGTGGATGAGACATAACTAGAAAGAGAATTAGTGAACTGGAAAATAGATCTGAAGGATTCGTGTGCACGCCCTGCTCACTTACTCCTCTGAGAAATGTACAGTTCCTACTACATGCGAAGAGTGTGCCAGGCCCTGGGAACAGAGAGTAAAGACACTGTCGCTGCCCTTGAGAGGAAGTCAGCTGTACACATACGCCTGAAAATACAACCAAGCATCCTGGGTGCTGCCATATTGGTTTCCCATCCAAATCCATGGTGGTGCAGGGGATGCCATGGTCAGCTCTCTCTGAGACATCAGGAAAGTCTTGTAGGAGGTGGCCTGTGCAGTTAAGATAAAATCCACACTTCTTCCAGAACCGACCAGGCCCTGGATGACCTGCCGCTGTGGGACTCACCCCCACCTCGTCTCATGCCCTTCTGCCCTTTCTCACTGTGGCCTGGCCCCCGGGACTTCTTTCCCTTTCAGGTGCACTGGACATTTAATTCTGAGAGGTTCGGTAGTCGTTAGCTACATTTGGCTATTGAACATTTGAAGTCCAGTTTGCCCAAATTGAGTTATGTTACACATGTAGAATATACTCTGAATTTTGGTGACTTAGTATAAAAACAGAGTGTCAAACATGCCATTAGTAATGCTTCTATATTGTATGTTGAAATGATAAGATTTTAAGTATATTAGGTAAAATAAATCATTAAAATTAATTTCACCTATTTCTTTCTACTTTTTAAATGTAGCTACTAGCAAATTTTAAATTATTCCTAGGGCTTTCCTTCTATATTAATTGGACAGCACTGCTCCAGAGTCTTCCCACCTCAGGGCCTTTGCATATGCTCTTTTCTCGGCTTACAGGATTCTCCCCCTCCACTCTATCTGTTAGGATTTCTTGTTCTTTAGAGATCAGTTTAGAGGTCACTTCCTCAAGGACACTTTCCAAGGACACCCTACCCAAGTAGGTGCTGGTCAGTACCAGGTGTTTCCTACACAGCACTTACTAGAGTTGACGTTTCTCTTGTCTCTTTGCTTGCATATTGTCTGTCTCACCCCCTAGAGTCTAGTGACTGGACCATATGCCCAGGAAGGCTGACCCGAGTCACCCTATTCCCTAGTGTCTGGCACGTAGTGTGCGTTCAGCATGGACGGAGTGAGGAGACCCACCAGCCCGGGCCTGGAGCAGGGGTGGATGGTCAGTGACATGGCTTCCTTTCCCTGCCCTCTAGGCTGTGGAACGGCTGATTCACCCTCAGCTCTGTGAGCTGTGCATAGAGGCCCTGGAGCGGCATGTCATCCAGGCTGTCAACTCCAGCCCCGAGAGGGCCGGCGAGGAGGCCCTGCACGCCTTTCTGCTCGTGCACTCCAAGCTGCTGGCCTTCTACTCCAGGTGGGCCCTGGTCCCGGCAGCAGAGGCCCAGAACCCTAACTTTCCCCCAACCCCCAGCTAAAAAAGCACCACCTCCCCAGCCAAGAAGACCTTCAAGACGTGTCTCTTCCCTGAAGCCTCCTTAACTCTTTCATTCTTGGCCCTCTCAGCGCATTCCCTTCTCTGAGTTAGGTCTTCCTGGAACACTGTCTCCGAATCTGAATTCTAGAACTTCTAGAACTTCCCCATGGGCTGTAACTGGTCCCCGGTGGTTTCTCATGGGTGTTTTTTTTTTCTTTAACACAACAAGTTTTATTTCACAAATTAACGAACTGATTAATTTTATTTGTACCTTGCCTTTCTTCAAGAAGGATGAAGCCAGCTGACACGTTCATAAATTCCTTGAGAGCAGGGACTCTGCTCCAAACTCCCTTAACCTGCCTGCACCGTGCCCACTGTTACCTGCAGGGGGGCGCCAGTGTGCGCTGACAGCCGCCTGCTCTCTCTGCAGCCACAGTGCCAGCTCCCTGCGCCCGGCTGACCTTCTTGCCCTCATCCTCCTGGTCCAGGATCTTTACCCCAGCGAGAGCACAGCGGAGGATGACGACCCTCAGGTCTTGGGCCGGCTCACCGGGGAAGCTCCCAAACCCAGTCTGGAGTGTGCTGGGCAGGCCACCTTGGGAAGGCTATGTTTCTGCATCACAGTTCTGGGCCAGCGGGGGTGCTATAGGCCTTGACTCCCTGCTGTTTTCAGATGTAACAGGAATTCTACAATGATGTGTTTTAGTCAGTGAAAAGAGCAGATTTTTGGAGTCCTTGCCGTTCCCTTCTCTGTGCACTGGGACAAGGGTTGTTTGGAGGAGTAAAGGGGACAGCTTACCTAGAGCCCAGCCGTGCCTGGGGTGCTTGGTGGGTGCTAGCCACTGTCCTCGCCCGCGCTGACCCCATTGTCAGTGGCAGTTTGGTTACCACTGTGTTGGAAGTTCGGACATATCAGTGGTTCTGGAGAAAGACTAGGCCACCTGGAACTGAAACCTCGGTGGGAAGTGAGGACACCCACCCAAGGCCACATGGTGGCGGGAGGCACCAGGGTGGAAGGGCTGTGGGTGGAAGAGCTGGGATCTGACGGAGGAGGGGAGGAGCAGATCAGAGTTGCTCTAACTAGGTTTCCCTTACCCATGGCAGCCTTCTCCCCGGAAGCCCAGGAGCAGCCAGAGCATCCCCGTGCAGCAGGCCCGGAGCCCTGCCTCCACAGCCCAGGCCAGGAGGAGTTCCGCGGCAACTGTGTGTGCTGTGCACCTGCTGTGTGGAGGGGTGTGGGGCCCAGGGCCAAGCCCCTCAGGAGAGGCTCTCCCAGCCCTCAGCCCAAGATGCCCTCTTCTCCCTTCCAGGAGACCGACAGCTTCTCCCTCCCTGAGGAGTACTTCACGCCCGCTCCTTCCCCGGGAGAGCAGAGCTCAGGTGAGACATGGGGAGGAACAGGAGGGCGGCAGGCGTGGATGGGGGGAGCCCAGATACAGACACCGGGATTCCCAGAGCGCAGGGTGCTACCCTGCACCACCCCCAGCTCCAGCCTGGATGTAAGCACGGCCCCGGAAATGATTCTGTGTGACAAGCAGATTTCATTTAAAATTTCATCTCCCATAGGTGTAATTTCTGCCCCTTTTTGGTTATCAATTAATAAGTAACTAAAATTAATAATCATTTCATTTCAAGTATAATGATTTAAAATGTACATATTTAATTTCTATACCTTACTTTTTTTTCCAGAAGATGTGAGTGGGTAAACAGTAAAAAGAAACGGAAAATATTCAAAATCTTGCTAATGAATAGACAACATTGCCAAGAACAAAGATAAGCCAGAATCTGTACTGTTGCCGTCCCTCTGGGTGGGCATCACGTTTACCTCTGAAGTTCTTAGGGAGAAGGAAGGATCGTGTGGTTCCCATCACCTAACAGAGGAAGGCCAGGATTTTAGGAGAAGACACTTCTCGGGGACTGAGTTTTGAAAGGAGTTTACTGTGTGGCGTCCTTAAGCCAGTGGTTCTTAACCCTGGCTGCACGTGGGAGCCCACCAGGTGGCTTCAGCCAGATGGGTGAAGCTACAGTCTGCGGGCTGGGACCCAGGTGTGAATGCTTCTAGAAACTGGCCCTGTGAGGCCAGCGAGCATCAGAGTGGGAACCGGCCCTGTGCACAGATTCAGGTTAGCACAGTGGTTCGAAGCCCTGTTACACTGTGGGCTTACTTAGGGGTCTTTAAAAACTACTGAAACCAGGCCTGCTAGTGCCAGGGATTTGGACTTAATTGATCTGGAATGTGGCCTGGGCATCGGGATTTTCAAAAGGTCTCACGTGCAGCCACAGCTGGAAACCAGTGGGTTAGATGTTCTTAACTGTAATTCCGTGGATGGGCTTCAAGGAGCCTGGGATCCCCGAGAGCCCACACCAGCTCCTGTAGCCTTGCACATTCCTCTGGGCCCAGGGTCCATAGCTGCCCTCTGGTCTCTAAGTTCCCCGTGAGCCCAGAACACAGCAGGAGACACCGCTTTGGGGTCGTCACCAAAGTTCCTTTTTCTTGTAACTACTCGCTCTCCTCGTCCATCACAACCTTCCTGCTGGCCTCTTTCTCAGTCGTATGTTTCTATGCCTCCGAGCTGTAAATAATGCCATTTCACAGTGCCTGGAACACCACTTACAAATGGCTTGAGTCGGACTCGTTCATTTGTAAATCGGGTGTTCAAAACATGGAAATGGGCTTCCCTAGAGAAACATGATTACAAATGATAGCTACCTGCAATGAAATATAAGGGAGCACTGTATTATTACAAACAGGTAATATTTCAAATCCGTAGTGGGCTCAGTAGGTTTTCTGGGAAAGGGAGGCCGCTGCGTTCCCTGCGCTTAGTGGGTACTCAGTAGAAGTTTGCTGATTGAGTAAGTGTGCTACCTCCTAGGGAAGAGGCACTGTGGTAGACAGGAAGAAACGGAAGGAGTGAGAGGGTATTCAGGGGGGCCAAGAAGGGCCATGCCCCACCTCGCCCCTGCCAGGTACATCGGGTACATTGTCAGGAGCCCACACCCAGCAGCTGGCCTTGGGGGGAGCGTCTCTTCCACAGGCTGCTCGGGGACTGCAGAGCACACCCCACACTTCCAGCCTGGGGTCCGATGAGCAGGGCAGGGCGGCTCCAGCCCCTGCTACGTGCCATCGCCCCCGCCACGTTCTCTGCCGCACCCTCCCCTTCTGACCCGCTGCTGGGCCATTGTTCAGGGGTTTACGGTATTTATGTTCTCTTATGTCCCGTGTGTCCTGTAGGTAGCACTGTCTGGCTGGATGAGGGCACCCCACCCATGGATGCTCCCCAGGTCCAGGTGAGCTGCTTCTGGGGAAGGGAGGGTCCATAGGCACCGGCTGATTTGAGATGCTGCGGTGGGCCCTGGGGACTCCAAGGTGTCTCCTCCCTGTAACTCCACACAGGGCCAACCCTCCTGCTGCCACCTCGGGGCTGGTCAGCGCGGGGACAGAGCTCGTCCCAGAGGCCGGGGCCAAGGGGGCAGGTGGTGGGCGAAGGGTGACCTCAACTCCGGAGGACTCCCACCCTCCTCACTGTTGTTGGGACTGAAAGTCCAGCTTAATTGGTGATGACTTTTTCAATTAGAAAGTAAGTATATTCATTGTAGAAAAATTGGGAAATACGAAAGTATGAAAAGCAATGAAAATAACTCAGTCTTAATCCTTTGTCCAGATATTAATTACTATTAATATTTTGAGATGTTTCCTCCTGTCTTCCCTCTGACTTTATGTTCACATATGGATGTATACACGTGTATATGTATATTTGCATACTACATGTTTTTTTTTTTCTTTTACCAAATTTGAATCCTAATGTCCTTGATTACATTGTTTTCCTTAAGCGTTTTTCCGTTTACTCTGTGCTGGTCTTTAAGGATTAAGAGTCCATCACGTGCCTCTATTAATTATTTTAGCGGATTCCCAAACAACTAGTACATCGTTGCTAGGTTTGGGGCTGTTCTAGAACAGTAAGACTGCAGTGCCAAGGTCTCGTGACATCTCGGGTGATTTCCTCAGTTCTCTACTTTTTCCCACTAAAGCCTTTCTTACTTATTTAGTAAGGCTGGATTCTTGCTCATTTAGTCCTCCCACTCCTCGGTTTCCACCATGAGACCAGCAGTCTGGATGCTCTGAGGATGGGTAGAATTTCGGCGTTCTTGACAGGCCTTCGCCCCAGGGAAGGCCTGGGAGGGACCGTTCCTGCCTTTTAGTCTCTTTGCTACCTCCCACCCCAAGTCCTATTCCCCACAGCCCCTGCTTGCCATCCAGTCCTGACTCTGGGTTGAATGGCTCCAAGGACACAGGGAGACCAGCAGGAGCGGTCCTGGAGCTGCTGGGGCTGTGGTAACAGAGCACAGGGGTTGAAGAACTGGGTTGCTTGGAGCGAAAGTGTCTATCCCCGTGGCTCACAGGGAAGACAGCGAATGGGCGACCCTGGTCGGTGCATGAGGCAGAGGCTGAGTGGCTCCCCCGCTGGAGCCCTCCCGCAGACAGCTCTTCTTCTCCACAGATAGCTGAAGACACCCTCCAGGTGCTGGTCCCACCCTCCCCAGTCGCTTCCGGCCCCAGAAGGATCTTCCTGGATGCCAGCATCAAGGAGAGCCACTGCCCCATGGTGCCCCACACTGCATACTGTCTGCCCCTGTGGCCAGGCATCAACATGGTGCTCCTGACCAAGGTGGGAGCGACCCCCCACTCCCTCAGCGGTGCCCCCACCGGGACACCTCCCCGCAGGCTTCCGCTGTTCATCCCGCTCTGCGCTGCTTCCCGTAGGGCCCCAGCACCCCCCTGGCTCTTGTCCTGTACCAGCTGCTGGACGGGTTTTCCCTGCTGGAGAAGAAGCTCAAGGAGGGGCAAGAGGCCGGGCGCACCCTGCGGTCCCACCCCCTCATGGGGGACCTGCGTCAGAGGATGGACAAGTTCGTCAAGAATCGCGGGGGGCAAGAGATTCAGGTGAGACCTGGGTCCCAGCTATGGTGGCCTCTGGGAGAGGAGGCAGGGCTGGGGCGGCAGGGTCTGTTCTGCTCACACTGGGGAAGGGAGCCCCATTGTGGGCCCGTGATCCTTGTTTTCCCCATCATGAACGGATAACAGAAATGTGACGGTATTTTCAGAGCATTTTGATGTGAGTTTGGTAGAACACGAGTTCAATTTCCTATGTTTTATGTGAGGAAACCAGAGCTGAGATTACTGGCAGGCAGATGGCAGGACCAGAGCCTGACTCTAGGCCGCCGTGAAGGCCAGCGGCCTGCCCCCGGCATCCCTCCTGGTGTGGCAGCTCGCGCCGAGGTGCGGGATGCCCGCCCCCACCTCAGGTGGGAGACGAGACCGGGAGAGGCCTAGACGGTAGAAACGCCATCTCTGCCGGGAGCCTAGCAGGAGTTCAGGAGGGGTAGGTCACTGGGAAGCAGCTGGCGGTGCTTGGGTCCGAGGACCTGAAATTCACTGTGGCTGCTGTACATGGGCATCTGAAAATGAGAAGAAGGGCTGGAGGAGACGGAGGGAGTGAGTGAAGCTCAGACCCAGATGGACCCAGACTGTGCAGTGAGCGTGGGGGTGGGGCGCACGGTCCCCCTTTACAGCTCTCGCCGGGCCCCACCTTCACACGCCAGTGCCTGCCCCACGTCCGCTTCTGTTCGGGGCGCTCGCCTGTCCCTCCGACAGCTTTAGTTCACGCGTCTGTGCCACTAGGCAGTGAGTCCCTGCTTGCCGCACAGAAACTGCTCTTTAAAGAAATGCGCACTGGTGTGTATGGTGGGGTGTATGGTGGGGCGCAGAGAGCTGGGGGACCTGCCGGAAAGCTGGCTCGGACTGCGTGAGGGCAGCTGAGCCTAAATACTGAAGCAGATGAGAGGTGTGGGTCCTTCCCAGAGCCCGACATCACAGGCTTCCCCCCGAGACCTCACTGTGGGGCCGTCAGCGCGAAGCCAACCTGTCCCGTGTCCTGCAGAGCACCTGGCTGGAGTTTAAGAGCAAGGCTTTCTCCAAGAGCGAACCCGGATCGTCCCTGGAGTGAGTGGTGGGCTCTGAGGATGGGTGGGGGGGAGTCATTTGGACAGAGGGGCAGGTTCCTCCAGGCCAAGAGGGAAAGGATGCTCAGGAAGGCGCTGAGCAGGGCCAGGGGCTTCCCAGAGAGCAGAGTCCCACCTGCAGATGCTGGAGAGGGGCTGGGAGGCAGGGGGGCTGCAGGTGGAGGAGGGGGCCTTGAGGACTTAACGTGGGGTCGGGGCTTAGGTTCCCACCCAGCCTCAGCCCTGAAGGGTGCACTTTCCCTCATTTCCCTGTAAAATAAACTGTGGCGGGGGCGGAGGGGGGGGTGGCAAGATTCCAGGAGCTTCTACCCAAGTAGGCATACCATGGTAGGGGAAAAGCGGGAAGCTTCCTCCTGAATCTCTGAGGGCAAGGTGTACTTCAGCAGCTGTGTCTGTCACCGGTCAGGTGACCCTGACCCAGAGGATGAAGTCCGGTGGGTTGTAGGGGTGTGTCTTCAGCACACTTGCAGACAGCCCCCCTCCAGGGCCCTTCCCGCTGTCATGCTCTCTTCTCCCGGCACCAGGCTGCTCCAGGCCTGCGGCAAGGTGAAGCGACAGCTTTGTGCCATCTACCGTCTCAGCTTCCTGAGCACGGCTCCAGGCCGGGGGGGCCCCCATCTGCCCCAGCAGCTACAGGACCAGGTCCAGACCATCATGCAGTAAGTAAGGGCGCCCCCTCCCCTCTGTAGCTGGACCAGGAGCCACACCACACCCACCTCCCTGCTTCCCTGACAGAGAGAAGCTGATGGACTGGAAGGACTTCTTGTTGGTGAAGAGTAGGAGGAACGTCACCATGGTGTCATATCCTCCTGCCTGAGCCCCTGGCGTCCGTCTGTCCCCTGCACCTACCCACTCTGTCGGAGTGAGGGCTTTCAGGAAGGAACAGATATGTTCCACCAGCTCAGCATCTTTTCTCTGAAGAATAGGAGATACTGTCATGGGTGTCTTGTCTGTAGGAATGCTCCAGGACTGAAAGTTCCCAAATCCCTGCTGTCCCACAGGGACTTCCTAAAGGCTTTGGGGATTGTTTATGTTGACACTGTCTGGCCAGCAAAGTGGTAACAGGTATTCCAGGAGGGGCAGGGGTCCTGGGGTCAGGAGAGGCAGGGTTCCTGGGGTCAGGTGGGTTAGAGAGGCCATGTCCTCCTTAGGAGTCACAGAACACAGTGGGATGTGAAGGCTCTGAGAAGGCCTGCACCAAAAATGTTTATCCGTTTAAACACCACTGTCCAAGACCTGTCTGACCATTTACTGTGGAATACTAGTTCTATCGAATACTGATTTTCCCTGCAGCTTTATATAAAACAGCTTTTTCTGTGTTGAGATCTCAGTATGCAGGTGAAAGGGTAATAGAGGCCCTCTTTAGCCGCCACCCTGCCATGTTGGCTGTTCCCTCTCAAGTGGGAACCTTCCAGCTTCACGAGGTGAAGTGTGGAGAGATGAGCAAAACCACGCCTAGTGGTGTGGGCTAGGCAGTCAGCTAGGCTCATTTATCTGAGGGGTAGCTCTGCTGTCCCACCAGCCTCACCGTGTATGTGATGTAAACTCATCCCTCATGAAAATGATAAAATAGGAACACTCACTATGCCTGTTGGGTCTAGAAACCCCCAGGTTAGATGTGCTAGTGTCAAGGGATCCATTGTACTTGCTTCATAGAATTTCACAGTGTTGGGGGTTCAGAGGTAAAGAGGTCTGGGAAAACAGGGACCCTAGGGGGTTGGCTGGCATGGCAGCTGTGGGGACAGGTGGGCACAGCAGGCCTGGCCTCCGGACTCCACTGCTTAGCCTTGCCGGAAGCCTAGGTGGAGGACAGAGTTACCCCCGCCTTGGTACCTGGCTTTCACCTTAACCCCGACCTTCACCTACCTAGAAGACTTCCCAGGCTTGGTACATTTCATCTACGTGGATCGCACGACTGGCCAGATGGTGGCCCCTTCCCTCAGCAGCAGTAAAAGGATTTCATCGGAGCTGGGCAGGGGGCCGTTGGCCACGTTCATCAGAACCAAGGTAACCACTGCCTGGCCCGGGTAACTCTTCACCCCTGTCAGACAAGATGTGCTGGCCTGACCCCTATCCAGAAAAGACTGATGCCCCACCCCCCCAGGGGCTCCCCTGAGGCCTTGGGCCCACCCCACCTTAACCCTTACTGTACTCTTCTGTCGGTGTCTGCCCCCAGCTGGTCTGCAGGCTCCCACCCTTGGCACCCAGGGCCACATGGGCCTCAGTCGGTGTGGGGGGCACCTTCCTGGGTGTCTTCTAATGGGCCCGAAGGAGCATGTCTGGGCAGTGAAGTCAACTGGGGCAGCGGCCAGGCCCTGACATTGTGCTTGGCATAAATAAATCCCAATAAGTATTTGTTGAGTGAATTCAAATGGAAAGAAGAAACGCAAGGTCGTTCAGTTTGGATACAGGATTTAACACTAGGTGGTTCGCACTAAAGAAGCATTCTCTGGGGGTTTTTGTATTCTCTTTAACAGACTCTTTCGTGGCAAACTAGTGTATTTCTATGTAGTAGGTAGCATGGTATAAACATAAATTAGGTAGGTTCATCTCGATAAAGCATATGCTAATAGGTAAAGTCAGGAGGAAGACAGAAGGCGGGTTGGGCTCTGCCTTTCCCTGGCCGTGTGGCCCGGGGCATTACGTGGTCTGAGTGTCCGTGTGCTCATCTGTGAAGGAGGCTACTGACACTGTTGACGTCCACGCGTGGCAATGATTACAGATGCGTGAGATGCTGCGGATTAAATACTCAGCTTGGTACGTGGCACAGAAGAGACAGAACTCAGGAAACAGTTGCTGGTACCAGCCTCCCAGCCATCTGTCGGGAGATCCTTGCGGTTCTCTGGCTGCGTTTCTTTGCGTTGTTTTTCTGTGCAGTTTTTTGCCATCAGTCATAGTCATGGATCATTCCGTAGGTGCAACTGTGTTTACCCACGTTTTCGCTTTCTATCTGATGCATTTCCTCATGTCATTAATTCTTTATCAACGTGATTTTTAACAAGTCCACAATAGTCCATCATGTGGCTGTAACATAATTTCCTTAGCCATTTCCCCAATGTTGGACAGTTAGAGTGTTTCCAGGCTCTCGCAGTCATAAATAATTCTGCAGCACATACTTTCGTGCATCCATCTTTGTCCTCATCTGATTATTTTCTCAATATGGATTCCCAGAAATGGAATTACTAAGTCAAATGGGAGGAATGTTTCCAAGGTTATTGATACACATTGTCAGATTGCTTTCCTGAAAATACAGCAAATCCGCAAACGTGTTTGCAGATGTCATTAGACATGACGCTGTGGTCAGGTTGGCTGTGAATCATGCATGCCTTCCACAAAGCTCTTTGGTGCAAGAGCTCATCAGACCTTTTCCAGCCCGGGAAATGGAGGAGTCAGGCTGTCCCTGCTGTCCTCCCTTGGGCAGGTCGAAGGTAGCACTGGGAAGTCCTTGATTAGGCAAGAGAATGTCACCCGGGGGATCCACCGCACATGGTCCCTCGGTCACTGTGTTTCTGTCGGACCTCTTGGTGAGCCCTGGCTGGGACTTTACCCTGGAGCAGAGGACATGCCTGGCTGAGGCTCCTCTGTGTTCACATGCCCCGCAGCACCTTCCTGGTGTAGAAGCTATGCCAGATGCCTGGCCCTGGAGGGGACCAGGTGGGCAGGTGGCCCTGGACAGCAGGAAGGGTTTCCAGGTGGCCACACCCTCATCTCCTGTTAACTAACCACATGCTTGGCTGTTTTCTGGGCTGAATGATCAGTTTACTAATTTGTGGCTTCTGTGCATGGTAAAGGTAAGTGAAGTATTTTTATGTATATTTTATTGTCGTAGTAAGTGGCGGGGGGCAGGTAGTCCACCTACCCACCCGATAATGATTTGTTTCTGAGCTCACACTCTGATCTAGGCCATGCCTCTGCACTAAGGAAACAGGCGAGCCAGAGCAGCGCTGGCCTTCCAGAAGCTCCTCCTCCAAGTGCTTTTCTTCCCGCTGCAGGAGCCTGAGCCCCGGGCCTGCTGTGAGGAGAGAGCCAACCCCGCAGGCCCTGGGAGGCTGTCGGGGCTGCCACGAGCACGTTGTCCCCCTGTCCCCCAGGTCTGGGCTCTGATCCGGCTGGCACGCAGATACCTGCAGAAAGGCTATACCACGCTGCTCTTCCGGGAGGGCGACTTCTGCTTCTCCTACTTCCTGTGGTTCGAGAACGAGATGGTGGGTGCAGCCAGGTCCCGGGACAGGACCGTCCCGAAATGCTTTCCTCTCTGCTCACTCTGGGATCCCTTTCTTCTGCACTGTGTTCAGTCTCTCTTCATCTCTTCTCGTCCCTAGTGGAGCTGACAGGGAGCCTCAGCCGTTGGGACCCAGACCTCAGAGGTCCCGTGTTCAGGGGCGCTGTGTGACCCTCCAGCAGCTGTCTGAACGACTCATGCTGTCACTCAAGGCAGCGTCCAGGTCGCACATGAACACATGGATGCGTGCCCGGTGAGAATGGCTCCTCACGCATGCTTCTGTGTGGCCGGCCGCCCTTACAGAGCATGGCACGCTGTCGCTCCCGCTGGAAAGGCCTGAGGTTCAGATAAACCGAGGTTCAGAGCAGTTAAGCAACCTGCCCAAGGTGAAGAGGACAGTCCGGCCTCCTGGCCCAATACTTCCCTCTCTAGCCCTCACAGTTACCCCAGTGTAAGCACAGGACTATTTCTCTCTCTCTCTTCTCTTTCTTTCCTGTTTCTCTTTGGTATCCCCTCCCTTGTCACTCAGAGTCAGTGTTCCAGCTCTCTCCATTCCTTCTGCCCCTCACACCCCCTCCACCCCCACTGGACCCTGCCCTCTCCCACTCCTGGCACCGGCCCTTCTTCACTCTGCCACAAGAGTGACAGCCAGCACCTTTGAGAGTGCAGGCTCCTTCCTGGGTCTCTCACAACCTCCCGTCTCCCCAGCCCGTGCTATGGTTGGGGTAGGTGTTATTAGCCCCATTTTACAGAGAGAGTCACTGATGCGTGGAGATCAAACTCCATGGCCAGGGCCACCAAGGTCATAAATGAAACAGCCGGAACCCAAGCTCAGCTCTCCTGGCCAGCAGGCTCCCATCTGTGCTCCAAGCCTGGGATGTGTGTACAACCTTTACCTTAGCTTCTGTGTGTGTGGCTGGCCCGACGGAGGGACAGACTGAAGTAGGGCTGTGGGGGGCAGAGCCAGCTGTGGAGGCTGCCCGCACCTGTGCCATCCTGGGCAGCCACCAGGCACTCTGAGCACACCTCCTCGCCTGCAGGACAGGCCCCACGGTGCCCACGTGAGCATGGAGACGATCCCATGATCGTGCCCAACACACAGTGGCTGCCCAGTGCATCTTAATTCCCTTCTCCTCCTTATTCTGTTTTTAAGATTATATTTATTTGTTTGAGAGAGAGCAGAGTGAGAGCAGAGCAAGAGAGCATAAATGGGGGTGGGGGTGCAGAGGGAGAAGCAGAGTCCCCACTGAGCAGGGAGCCCGATGTGGGGCTTAATTCCAGGACCCTGGGATCATGACCTGAGCCGAAGACAGATGCTTAATGACTGAGCCCCCCAGGTGCCCCCTTCTCCTCATCCTGCCCTGGAGACTGTGGTCACTTTCACAGCACAGACTTGGGCCTTTTGACAATGCCCAGCCCTTCAAAACCCTGCAAGGCCACCTCCCAGGATCACGCTCCCAGCAGCTGTCCCAAGCTCGTGCGGGTCCCTGACTCAGGTCCGCGCACTGAGGGGAGTGAGAGCCTCCCCACGTGCACCGGCCAGGCACTCAGAACTTGACATATGTCATCTCCAGTATCCGCTGGGAGGTTACTCTTAGTCCCACTTCACAGTTGAGATGTGAAAACGAGGTAGGAAGAGGCCCAAGCAGCAAGCAGCCACCACGCGGGTTGAGCCAGGCCTTGAACTTCGTGTCCGACTCAGGCTCGTGATCTCTGCAGCACACCACCACCACCCCGTGTAAGAGCTTCCTCCTCTCCCGCAGGGGTACAAACTGCAGCTGATAGAGGTGCCCGTCCTCTCGGATGACTCCGCGTCCTTCGGCGTGCTGGGAGGAGACTACTACAGGTGACCGCGGTTCACAAGGCTGCAGGGAACAGAAGGCACCCCGACGAGTGCCCCTCCCCCACTGAGGAGCAGCTCATCCTTCAGGAAAGCCCCCCAGAAAGCCCTCGGTGGGAGCTCTTTGCTGCCCAGCCCGTGTTCAGCGAGAGTGTGGGTGGGCACACACCCGGTTTCTACCCGTCTCTGGCCACTCGCATCCCGCCGGCGTCTGTGCTGGGCCCTCGGCCTTCCCCACTGGCTCTGTGGCTTCCCGTGGCTTGGACATGGCTGTCGGCAGACCCTGCGCAGGACTGGGAACCCAGAGGGGTGGAGTATGCGGCCCCGGGGCCATGCCTCGTGCAGTTGGGTGGGAAGGCTTCGCTGGCCAGGTGCTGGGGCCTCGCCAGGTGGCAGTGCCCATGCTGGGCCAGAGGGTACAGGGACGCCTGTGTCCAGGAAGGCTGCTGTGGCCTCGTTCCTGAGTCCTGTCCCCCCTTTCTCCAGGAAGCTCCTGCGCTACTATAGCAAGGGACACCCCGCTGAGGCCGTCAAGTGCCACGAGCTGCTGGCCCTCCACCTGTCGGTCATCCCCACGGATGTGCTGGTACAGCAGGCCGGCGAGCTGGCCCGGCGCCTGTGGGAGACCTCCCGCCTCCCTGTGCTCTAGGCCGGCGCAGCCAGGGTATGCAACCCTGGTCCCCATGCAGAACAGCCACCAGGGGTGGAACAGCCCCCTGGGTCTCTTAAAGAAACCACCTAAACTAGGCTCCCTTCCAGGTACCAAACCCCCAAATTCTCTTTGGAGGAGGAGGGAGGTGGGAAGGGTCCCTTGTTCTCCTTAAAACAACAGTGGCTGTGAGGGTAGACCTGGGGCACCCGCTTTCAGAGCTGCCTCTCCCTTTATCCCCAGGAGACAGGGAGTCCCCAGTGCCTGCAGGTGTCCGAAGATCCCTCCTTTAGGCTCCTTGGAGTGGAGAAAGAGCTTCCTCAGGAAGCTGGTTCCCTCCCCAAATGCAGGGTGCTGCCTTGGCTGGATGTTCCCGCTGGGCCCCTTCCTCTCTGTAGCTCAGGGCGGGTCTCCCACACCTGCACCCCATTCCCCGCCTTCGGAGGGCTGGCACCGACCTCTCAGCATGGCTGGGAGGACGGCCCAGCCCGCCATGTGAGCTCAATAAACGCCCACTGTGGTCGTTGCTGTTCCAGCCGAACATGCCTGTTCTCCTGGGCTCTTCCTGGTGCGCAGAAGTCCTGGCCCCTTCACACCCCACTCCATCCGACCTCCTGCCTCAGCCCCACCTCAGAGAGTCGTGTCCCTCGTGTCACTTGGTCCTCTGCATCCCAGGCAGAGGTTTATAAAAACTCCCCAGCCAATCCCTGTGTGCCCTGGGTTGAGAACCGCTGCCTGAGGGGGACGGTCCCTCTCCTGTCACCTGGAAGCTCCCACCCCAGGACAGGAGAGCACCTGAGCCCTGGGACTTGGGCACATCACCGCGGGGAGGAGAGAAGAGCCATGCCAGGGGGAGGCCCCTGGGCAGTGTTCCTGACTGCTGACCGCAGCCAGGCCTTTGTGTCTTCAGTCTTGAGCCAAAATTCAAGCAAAGACTCTTCTTTCCTGTTAAGGAAAGAGCTGGTGGGGGTGAAAGGGGGCAGAACCACACCTCACATGAATGTCCTCAGAGGTGGCAGTGAGGGGCAGTCACCTGAGATTACTGAGACTGCATTGCCCCTTAATATCTTGACTTTACAAATGGAAATTTAACCTCAATTGGGAAAAACACAGGAGAGCACAAAGGAGGGGGCGAGTAAGTCTAGAAGCCCACTGCCGCTTCTGTCACCTAGTACTCTAGTATTCCGTCACCTAGTATTGCCACTTCTGTCACCTAGTATTGTCCCTTAATTTTTAGTACCTGCATAATATTGACATGTCTAGTTGAGCCAGTCCCCCCAGTTCTTCAATGCTGTGACACCGGGGCGAACACCGTGCCTCAGACTCTAGCACAGATTCACACGGTGCAACCCTGGCGTGCGCGGGGTGTCTCCGTCCCCAGTAGAAGGATCCGCAGAAGGCTCTCCCGCTCGGACGCGGGTACTCTCTGCATTCTCTCCCAGTGTTAAGGTGCATTTCTAATGGCGGATTTCTAGAACATGGACAGATGTCATAGCACCACAGAAACTCAACTCTTGGGTGCTTTTTTCCTCCAACAAGAGGAATGGCCTGCTAGCTAATGGGTAGAGAACAAAAGGGCTGCTAATTCAAGGCAGGCTGGTGGATGGCAAGAAAGTGTGGTAGCTGAAGATACTTGCAGATGTGATCTTTAATCCTTGAGCATCCTGAGGAAATGGGAAAGGCGCCAAAAGTCAGAAGAGGGATGTCTAGGCCTTCAAAAGAAGGCAGCGTACCCCAAGTTCCCCAGACCTTGCAATCTCCCACGGCCTCTTTGAGTGCAAGGTGCTTCAGGGTCTGGGGGAGCACGAGCAGCTCTCCAGGGGCCACAGCGACAGATGTGTCTCCCCCCACCCCATAGTTTTGCAGAGGCCCCAGTCATGGCAACCCTGTGGGGTATAGAGCCGCTCTCTGTCCTGCTGGCAGAATGATGGGGAGCTAGTACAGCGTCTGACCAGTATGTCCTCAGGATTTGCTCCCTGCACACCCCCGACAGTAAACTCCCTGATAAGAGGCAGGACAGAGCTGGGGAAGGGGGCCCCTCCAGCATGCTCACAGGCTGCCTGACCTCCCCTCTCCCTTCTCCGAGGCTCAGTGGCCCTCATCCTTGAAATGGGAGTTTTAGGGCCCCCGTGAGCATAATGCCTCGCACGTGGGAGCCCTAGAGCGACCAGCACAGTGGCTGTCGTCTGCGGCCTGGAGGGGACCCGACTTACGCCTAGTGAACTGGCGGCCTCCTGAGACTCTGCCCCGTGTGGACTCTGCGAGCTGCCTGTCCTCATGGCCCAAAGCCAAGTACAGCAGCTGAACTGCTGCTCCTCCTCTCTTCCGGTTTGCTCTGCCCCTCCCCCTGCCTGAGTCGCACAAAAGCTGACTGGAAGCAAATTCCTGGCCTGGTGCTGGGCAGGAATGGCTGCAAGGGGTCCAGGTCTCAGCAGGGCCTTGGGTGCTCCTCCCTGCCCGGCTTGGAGGCGAGCTTACTGGGGAGCCAAGGGACGCCTGAAGCCTGAATACGATGCCGTGGTGATAGGAGCAGGTAACAGGGCTGTGCCCGAGCTGAGGGGTGGGGAGGGCAGCCCTGCTCAGAGTCCCGGGGACGGGGCCGGGGACGGGGCCGGGGGCGGGGGGCGGCATTCCCATGCCCCACACTTCCCTCTGCTCTGGGCACAAGCTGGTCTGGATTTGGGCCAGAGCAGGGTTGGTGGTGGAAAGTCTGCTTAGTCTGTGAGCAGGCACTAAGGTTGTGGGGCTGGCTCTGCCATCAACTTGCTCCGTGGTCTGGGGCAGTTTCTTGCCCTCTCCAGGCTTGGGTCTTCCCTTCTAGAATGACCAGGGAGGAATAGGTGAGCTCAAGAGTTCCCACGTATCTCTTGCAAAATTAGCTAGTTGCCACCACATTCTTGGAAAGCAGAAGGTACACAATGGTTGGGAACAAAGAGCCTTAGCATAAAAGACCCATGAAATCCAGCCACCCCGAGTGCCCTGAGTTCTGGTTACCACCACCTCACCACTAGGACTGCCCATTCCCTGAGGAAACTAGGAGATTCCTTAAAGAGGAGTTAGGAAAAAATAGAAATGAGTTGCAGAGTTACCAGCACATAGGTCTGGGGAGGGTGACACCCCCTGTTATCTTGGCCGGCCCAGCCCGGGTGTGCACCCCTGGACACAGATGTCCCCGTACCCTCGGGCACGTAGGGTCCTGCTGGCCTTTGCTCATCCCCAGGCTCCGGGTGTCCGATTCCACCACGTGACTGTGGGAGGCCAAAGGGCCTGGACCAGGTTGTCTTTGCTCAGAGCCTTCCACTCACACTCCCGGGAGGCCCCAAATGTCACCTTCTGGCATTCTCTCCCATTGGGCTTACACAGACAGACAATGGCAGGATGGAAAGAAGATGCTCATCACCGTTTTAAAGCTGCGTCCTGTACTGCCAGCCCTTCATTCATGTGTGCCCTGAGAGCAGTCACGGCCAGAGAACATTCCAAGGGCCCCTACAGGGAAAAATGTCTGCGAACATACATATGGAAGCTCATGATAAATACTGAAATAAAAGACGTAGAGCAGACACATTTACAAATAAGATACACAGTACTCTAAGTTCCAGGTAGCCAATTGGCTCTCACCAAATTTCTGTGCTTTTTGCTAAACATAACAACAAACCTGTGGTTACCCTCCACCAATCCGGCCAGCTTGGAAAGGAACAAGGCTTGCCGTTTGCAATGACTTTAAAGTGTAGAACCAACGGGAAGCAACAGCCCCTTCTCAACTTCACTCGTCCAGTAATGGGAGGGGCTTAGCTCCGTCAGATGACCTTTCTCCTGCACTGGGAGAACATTCTCTGGAGGTCTGTGCTGTTCACCGCAGAACAGCGGCAGCCACAGGCACACGACCGGGTTTCATCCGCACTGTTCGTGTTTTCTCCGTCACTTTCTTGCTTGGATCCGCCAGCAGAGTCATACCGCCCAGCCCCGAGGTGGACTTGTCGGCTGGCTTCCCTGGTGCAAGGGCTCCCACCACGGCCTTTTGCAAGTTGCCACCGTGAGGGGCTGTGTGTGCCCCTGGGAGGGAGGCACGGCCACTCACGGCTGCTCAGAGGTAAAGAACCACGAGAACGAAGGTAATTGTAAACTGTGGAGAAACGATGAGGAAGTGACAAGTTTTGAGTATTGATTACCTTTGTTTTCAATATAATGTATTTCACTGTAAGTTTATAATAATCTCAGTTTTAACGACGGTGGCCTTTGACGACCATCACAAACATCCCAGCTAGGGAAAGCCAGCTCCAGACTTCAGTGACTGGACTGGGCTCCCCGTACCTGGAAGGTGTTCCCCCCACCCCCTGCTTTCTTGCCCTTGGTGACAACACAACCCCGATATCTCCTGGCAGGGAGGGTTGACTCCATGTCACCAGAGAGGCCTGAGTGGCCCACACGTCTATGAGCCACAGGTGTGAGTTTTTCCTTGACGTTGTTTCTGCCTTTGCTAAGCATTCAGGGCAGCCTGGTTTAATTAAGGGAATTTGGGGATCAAGTGAGGAACAGAGTGGCATCTTCGGAGAGAAGGGTTAGCTCTGCTCCCTGAGGTCACACCAGTATCCAGGGGCCTTGAAGATGAGCCCTGATTAGTCCCTTGACTAAATATGCCCAAGAATGATCCAAGGAGCTTATTAAAATGCAGTTTCTGGACCCTGTCCCTGGTGATTAGGATTCAGGGAAAGTCAGCGCATCCAGCCAGAATTTGGAGCGGTTCGGGTGCAGGGGGCTGCAGGCCACACTTGAGAACCCACGTGCCTGGCTGTCCACAGATCCCTGGAGTCGGGCTGGAGATAGTCAGAGCCTGCAGCTTCAGATCCCCTCAGGAGGAAAGGACAGATCACCGGAAGCCCAAGGAGGGCTCAGGCAGGATTGGGGATGGGGTGGTGGAGGGCCAAGGTTCCTGGGCTGCTGCAATCTTGACCTTTGTCATTTAAGGTCTGTTTGTGCCTTTGTGGGCTCATGTGGGATGATGGAACTGGACCCAGTTGACTGGAAGCCTTCATTTCCCAAGATTTATGATCAGCATTATTTAAGAGACGAATAGCTACCATTTATCGCGGGGCTGCTGAGGGTCAGGTGCTCTACATATATTACTGGTTATTCTCGCCCCAACACTGGAAGAAGCCTGAAGCTCATGGCCCATCAGAAAGACTCTCAGAGGGCCACGTCCTATAAATAGGAACCAGCTTGAGCCCAGGATGGCCGGCCTTTAATTTGATATATGTATTTGAGAGCAGGGCTTTCCAAACCCATGAGTCCATCCAGCAAAGCTTCTAAACCAGAGCCCTGGGTGTGGTGCATAAACAATGAGTCTTGGAGCACTGAAAAAATAAA